CGATTTACAGCTATGCGACATGTTTCTGCTTAGGACTTCAGTCATCATTCCTTCTACAGTGACAGAAGGTATCTGAATACCAGCAGGGACCAACAAGAAAACATATAGGATTTGCATGAGCATCTTTGCTAAGGAGTACACACTCTAAGGTGGTCTATTTCCTAATAAAATTGTGGTGCAACCATAAGGAGGAAAGACAAGAAGCCTTCAAGACAGGAAGGACTGATACCTTGGCCAAAGTCTTAGGACTCTAGCATCCTTTCCTTCAGGACAGTATTAACTTAAATAATAAAACTTACAAAGTGACTGCAACAACAACGCCTTTGAGACACTTCCCTTCCTTCCCCCTCAGTCATCTCCAGAGACCGCTGCAGGGGCCAGGTTTCCTCCTGCAAATGCTTTTAAGGCTTTTTTTGGGACTCCCTGAATCCTTCCTCAGATGAGGCACTCCGGCAGGCGGCATCCTGCCAGTCAATCCAAACCAGAGCGAGCATTTGCTTACCTTGCAGTAAGCGGAGTTTTCTGAGACGTGTTTGCCCGGGAGGACTCCCGGCCGCGACGGGCTTTGCAGCGAGCGCGTGGAGGGCACCGGCTCCGCCTTGCGCTCCCTGTGCACTCTGCAGGGAAATCCAAAGTGCCCCTTGGCTTCCTCAAGAGCTTGGAAATCCACCTTATAAATCCATGTCAGTGGAGACTGCGAGCAGCCAAAAGCCTCATGTGGGCAGAGTCAGGCGGACTGAGAGACAGGTAAAGGATCTGTCAACTGCGGGCACAGGGATCTCTTGTTCAAACAAGTCACTTCTGATTAAAACTTGGCCCGAATGGAGGCGGGCAACTTGCTTACAGAACAGGCAAATTCAGTGCAATTCAAGTGATTTAATGCAACGCTTTTGTGAAGGAATGATCTAGCCGTTAGATTTGTTTGCAGAAGAAACAAAAAGCCTCTACCGCTTACCAACCCGTCTCATTACAAGCAAGAGAAGGTGCCACCACCTCACTTCCCAAAAGAAACGCCGTCGTAGGCAGGGAAAGCTGCTGTCAAAATCCAAGACCGCCTTTAACGATTATGTCAAGGGTGGTTGGAGTGCTGCCTACACCTCCCTACAGCAAAGAGGATCCCTACGGCGAGGCGTGAGGGTCCCCGCGCCCCGGCCGGGCAGCGGTGCTCGGCTGCCGGGACAGGACAGGAGGGCAGCGCGCGCTGCCGA